TAGGAAAAACAAATTTGAGATCCCAAAAGACAATTATGTGGATGCCGAATGGTTGAAGGACAATGTCAACGGAAAGTGTGCAAATTGTGGCTGTGGCTTCGTGTTGTCAATGGACTCTGGTAATATAAATTCTAATCTGACTTGTCAAAGGTTATGTAATGATCTCCCCCATACAAAGGATAATGTCATTGCCTTCTGTGCTTCTTGTAATAGATGCTTCAGTGATAAAATAACATATTGATAAATATGTTGTTCATATCAGATTTAAAGAATGATTATTTTAGGTATATAGAGGTATGAACCGGTATGAAAAAGGGAAAATTTACAAAATAGTAAGTCCTGATTTTGAAAAGTGCTACATTGGGTCTACGACCGAGCCATTAAGCAAAAGAATGGAAAGGCACAGGAAACTCTACAAGACATATTTGGAAACTGGCAATGTTGATACAAGAGTGCGATTAATATTTGATGAATACGGAATCGAAAATTGTAAAATACTTCTTATTCAGAATTACCCCTGTGAAAGTAAGGAAGAACTTTTAAGGAAAGAAGGAGAATACATACAAGCAATGCAATGCGTCAATAAATGTGTTGCAGGAAGGACGCCTGCTGAGTATAAAGAACTATACAAAGATTATTTCAAGCAGAAACGACAAGAATACTATGACAAGAACAAAGAATACATCCTGAACAGAAATTCTGAATACAAACAACAGCACAAGGAACAATTTGACCAGAGAAGACATGAATACTATGAACAAAACAAACAACACATTAATGGAACAAACAATACTAGAACAACAAACAACTTTGACAAAATCAAACAACAAACAAGCGAAATACGCCGACAATAACAAGGAATATTTGGCTGAAAAAAGAAAAGAATGGTGCAACGCAAATAGGGGGTATGTCAAACAAAGAAGTGATAAATATTATCAAGAGAAGCAAGATAGTATATGCGCCAAGAAAAAAGAAAAGGTTGAATGCGAATGCGGCGCCATGGTTAGAATTCACGAAATCAAAAGGCACCAACGAACAAACAAACACCAATATTTTTTGCAACAAAAACAATAATATCCTGTTTATATATATATATATATATGTCTAAACAAGATATTATTAGCGAAGTTTATTATGATCGTGCTGGTTTTGGCTCTTTAAAAACAACTCTTGCAGACGCCAAAAAGAAAGATGCATCCATAACAATGCAAGATGTTAAGGAGTGGTTTCAAGAGAACGTGGAACGGAAAAAACAACTGTCTGGATACAATTCATTCATCGCTCCACATGTTCTGTATGAATTTCAGCTTGATTTGTTCTTTATTTCAAAAAATGATTTACAAACTCAAAAATTTAGTATAGGTTTAGTTCTTATTGATGTTTTCTCCCGTAAAGCCGCGGTGATGCCTATCATGTCAAAGCAACCTGCCGACATCACTGCTGGGATAATGGAAGGTTTGAACAAACTCGGGAAGCCCCACCTCATTTACTCTGATGACGAAGGGAGTCTTAACAATCAGGATCTTGTTGACTTTTTCAAGGATCAACAAATAGAGAATTACAAAACAAGAGGGCACCCTCATTTTGTTGAGCGCTTCATCCGCACGTTCAAGGACATGCTTTTCAAGAGGGTTGATGCAGACGAGAAAAAGGGAAAGGTTAATATACAATGGATTGATTATATCCCCGAGATCGTGCTGACATACAACAGTAAAATGGTTCATTCTGCCCACGATATGACTCCAAACGATGCCCACAAAAAGGGAAACCATCTTGAGGTCAAGATGAAGCTTGAGATGAACAGAATCAAAACCCGTAAATATCCCCCTGTTAGGGTTGGCGATGAGGTCAAAATATACCGCAAAAAGGGAATCAGTGAGAAGGAGAGAACGAGTTCGTGGTCAGCAAACAAGTTCACAATTGAAAGGATTGAGCGAAAACTTGGACAAGACTATTATTATGTCCAAGGTGTGACTCGTGCTTATTTGAGATCGGAAATTCTGAAGGTCTGAAGCAAAAGGCTAGGGCAATGGCTTCGGAAGGCTAGGGCAGTTGCTTCGGAAGACTAGGGCAGTTGCTGTGGAAGGCTAGGGCAGTTGCTGTGGAAGGCTAGGGCAGTTGCTGTGGAAGGCTAGGGCAGTTGCTAGGGCAGTTGGAAGGCTAGGGCAGTTGCTGTGGAAGGCGGAAGGCTAGGGCAGTTGCTTCGGAAGGCTAGGGCAGTTGCTGTGGAAGGCTAGGGCAGTTGCTGTGGAAGGCTAGGGCAGTTGCTTCGGAAGTCACAGGCATTGCTCAGGACGGGCTTCCAGAGAGCACTGTTGGAAATGATGCCATTCAGAACAGAGGCAGAATGGCATATCCGATTTTATCATATATTAAGCACGGAAGACTTCTATGACGAGGATGAAGAATTTAGCGATAATGAAAGCACGGCTAGCTATTATTGAGATGAATGTTTCAGTTCTTGATTATACTATAGTTACAACATATAAGATCTTATATGTTGTAATTTTAGTTTAATTTTCCCGTATAAGCCGTGGGGGTGCTTTCCTACATAGGCCTTTCCCATCCGCATTTTGCCATCCATATTTTACTGGATTATTTTCAAGATTTGGGTTAACGGTTTTAATTCTCCCTTTTCCATTGGTTAACCATTTTTCGGGGCGAACATAGGGTTCTTTTTTAGACTGTTCGTATTTGTTGGAAATGGGAAAGGGTCTCAGGTTGGATCAAGGGAGAAATTATTGAGATCTTGGGGTTGCGATCTTGGGAATGGAAAAATGTTGGTATGTAGCTTGTTTTTTTTGGTGGGATTTGTTGAGGTGGTATGTAGTTATGATTGTTGTTATTGAATGAGTGTAAGGGTGATGTTGAGATGGGGTAAAAAATGAAGATGGGTATATGAATATGTGTTTTTTGGTGTTGGATTGGTTGGGTGATTGAATTTGAATGTTGAAAATAGGCTGTTTTAGTGGGCGTATTCAGAATGTGCCCAAAAGTGTGGGGGGGACCCTAGGACCGGATGGCAAAATGCGGACGGGAAAGCTCCTGTCTAACTGCGGCAGCCCCCCTGATGATCGAAAAAGTTAGGGCCAAAAAGTCTAAAAGGCAGCGGGGGAGTTTAATGATCGAAAAAAAGTGATGATTCAATTCGCCTCGGCCCCAAAGGGGCCAAGGCCTGAAAAGCATGATCTCCTGCTGGCCAGGCCTGTCTGACGTGTCTGAGACTAGGCTCACCTCCAACCAGCAACCCGCCTGCTGGCCAGGCCTACCCAGCCTCAGCCCCAAGCTTGCCTGACACAGGCCTAGCCCAACCAGCAACCCGCCCAAGCACGGCCCCAAGTCATCCAGCAAGCCCAGCCCAGCCTGCCCAGCCCAGGCCCCGGCGCATCTTAGGCCCCAGCTCCCAGCCCGCCAGCAGGCTCAGCCCAGCGTGCCAAGGTCATGTTTGTCTAACGTGTCTGAGACTGGCCTCAGGCCAACGACCAGTCTCACGTGTCTGAGACTGGTCTCAAGCTATGCCAGCTACTAAGCCTGTCTGACGTGCCCTGAGACTGGTCTCAAAGTATGCCAGCCTGAGACCAGGCCCGCCCAAGCACAGCTCAGCCCAGCCCGCCCAGCCCAAGTTCCAGACGCAACCAGCAGCGTAGTCCGGCTGCCCGGCAGCCAGCAACCCACCCATGGCTTCGCAGCCTCGTGGCTGAGACTAGCTTCAGGCCCAACCCAACCAGCAACCCACCTCAGCCCAGCCTGCCCAGCCCAGGCCCCGGCGCATCTCAGAGCACGCCAGCCACAGCCCAGCGTGCCAAGGTCAGGTTTGTCTAACGTGTCTGGTCTCAAGCTATGCCAGCTACTAAGCCTGTCTGACGTGCCCCAGCCCCTCAGTCCAGCTCAGCCCAGGCTGGCCAGGCCTTGACCTCCTGCTCGCGTCTGGCCCCAGGCCTAGCCCCAGTCTGAGACCAGTCTCAAAGTATGCCAGCCTGAGACTAGCCTCAGGCCCAGTCCCTCAGCCCGCCTGCTGCCGTGTCTTACGTGTCTGCGACTGGCCTCGGGCCCAGCCCAGCCAGCAACTCGCCACCCAGCCTCAGGCCCAAGTGTGTATGAAACAGGCCTTGCCCATCAAGTTTGAGGCGCAACCAGCAGCGTAGTCCGGCTGCCCGGCAGCCAGCAACCCACCCATGGGTTCGCAGCCTCGTGGCTGAGACTAGCTTCAGGCCCAGCCCAACCAGCAACCCACCTCAGCCCAGCCTGCCCAGCCCAGGCCCCGGCGCATGCTCCCAGCGCACCAGCAGGCCCAGCCCAGTGTGCCAAGGTCAGGTTTGTCTAACGTGTCTGAGACTGGCCTCTGGCCAACGACCAGTCTCACGTGTCTGAGACTGGTCTCAAGCTACGCCAGCTACTAAGCCTGTCTGACGTGCCCCAGCCCCCCAGTCCGGCTGCCCAAGCAGCTCAGCCCAGGCTGACAGTCTTGGTTTTGGATTTTAAACCTTCCGAGCAGGACGGCTTCCGAACATCGAACTAGCACGGGCGAACTGGTGCGGTCACAAGCTTTCAGTAGGATTCGGACCTTCCCAACACTGGATTTCGGTGTTCCTGACCCTTCCCTCAAACTAGGCTGGGCCGAGGCGGGCAACGCGAAGCGTTTACAATTAGGGGCAAAGAATCTAAAAGTAGCAGTCGCATGATGATCGTGCATTTTAATCGAAAGGGGGGTGGCGGGGGGCACCAGAGAGGAACTGGCGATGCTGAGGATGCAGGAAGCCAAGGCCAAAAACCAACTGCAAAAGCCACAAAAACCCACGTAAAAGCCACAAAAGCCAAAAAGCCGAAAGCCACCCACCCTGAAAAACAAAAACAAACTTTAAAAAAGAAAAGACAAAAATCTCCTTAAAAAGATGGCCCTCCTTTTTCAATTGTTGGGGGCTTAGTGGAAAACGCCACTTGATTTCAGCCAAGAAGTGAAAGTCTAAAGATCCAACCCAATAGCAGACTTGGCTCTTCAGCGTGCGGTTCAGCACCTCGCCCCGCTGCACCTCACAGCCGGCTTCGGTTGGGGGCTGAGGGGCTGAAGCGGCTGAGGCGGCTGAGGAAGTTGCGATGGGGTGGAACGTGTTTTCTTTCCGCCAGGTAGCCGGAAAGTGGGAGAAAACGGGGAAAAAAAAGAGACCAGGGTTCCCGAGGTGGTCTGTGTGTGTGTGTGTCTCTTTGGTTTACCTTTCTAGTCTTGGTGGTTTGGGGACCCCCAACCAAAACAAACAAGTTGAGGAGAACCCTTCAATGAGAATAACTTCAATAGGCTCTAAGAAGCTTTCCCGCAAACCTGGCCTTTGGTTTTCTGGCTGACGTCGTATCCCTCTGACTTGCGGCAAGTTCACCTTGGAGGACACCGAGAAAAGTGGGTGCTGGATCGGACTCAAATAATTCAAGCCACGTAGGTATTTTTTTCCAACAAGGCAAACGTATTCTATGAACCTTGAAATGCGTTGGGAGCCATCAACCAGGCAAATTTGGCTCAAACAACCAGGCTGATTCGCCGCCTGTGGGGAACACTAACAAACAGCATGTGTGAACAATAGTCGTTTGAACCTGCCAAAGCCAAGGGGTGAATCGCCCAACCCTGCCTCGTGCACGTCCACCAACATGGACCTGCAGCTCCTCATGTGGGCGTCGCGGGTGATTGATTTGTTCAGAGAGGGATGTCCGAAACTGATATGTGAAAATGCGTCCAAATGGCGGGACCCCACAAAGCGTTTTCCTAACCAAGGTTGATATCAGCTTCCCTTCAATTGGCGGCTTGGATTTGGTTTGGGGTTGGGAGGGGGGAGGAGGGTCGCATTTATCATCTACAAGAACCAGGCGTTCTTTTCTTTCTTGCGGGGGGACCCATGCCGAAAAATACTGATTTAACAGGGATCCTTATTACCTTGTAAGTGGTGGGGTCCCTTTGTTTTGGTGGAAAAAGCCATGTTTCAAATGGGCAAAATGTATCTTTTAAGGAGCCCTGTTTAATTGTCTAATTTACTGAGCCACGCTCAACACCTGGCTCCTGAAAAAGTCCATCGCAGCCAAAAGGGCGGTTGTTGCCGGACAACTATGTACAGCTGGGATGGAAGTCCCTACCCTTCAACGGAATCAGTTTTTGATTATGGCTCTGATGAGTAAACCCTCCGAAAATCTTGTATGAAACCGCCTGATTTCAGTCAAGGTCTGAGAGCTCACGTCGCGCTTCACGGCGGATGTTTGAAACTGTCGGTGCGGTTGAACGACCTCATTTGGTCCCTCAGGTCCTCTGACCTCCAGGGCTTTGTCGAGTACCCTCAACAAAAGTGGACGATCCGAGATCTTGGAAGGCTACCCTTTTGACAAGATCTCGAGTCGTCCATTAAAAGAGCACAGCGCCGGAAACTCCGCAACCATTGGCTTTAGTACATCGGAAGCTCAGCCGTGTCCTTGCGCTTGTAGAAGCGCATACCAAGCCGGCGACGAAGGCATGGAACATGAAAGTCGCCAAACGAACGTTCAAGGTTGTTCAGCGATTGAGTGCGTGGGAGGACAATCAAATCAGCTCATGTCAAGACACACTGCAATGAAACAAGCAAGACGCACATTTCCAACAGCAGATGATGTATCATTGCCAGCAAAACGGGGCCAGGCATGAGCAAACTAAGCCCCACTTGCCTCTTGCGGCCATGGCCGGAAGGTGTCGCTATTTGAGTCGCGCCCAAAACTCATCGGTTGGTTCCAACATGGTTGTGACAGTTGACGTAGGCCCTACTATAATCCCAGCTTGGGCGACCTGAGTGGGTTCCAACAAATGGGCTCCTTTCAATGCAAAGGCCACGCGATCGGACCCCGTGTGGTAAAACCAGGTCCCCTGACCAATGAAGGCCAGTGGAACCACAGACTCTCAGCGGGTTGGGGAAAAAACACCATACACAAATCAGGGCTGCAGAAAATCCAAGCCATCTGCTGGCCATGGGCCAAAATCCAAATCGTACCCCCAGTGAACATCCCAATCACCACTAAAATAGATTCTAAAACACTGAAAACCGCAAAATGGGATCCCATTGGTGTTGACCCACAGCCAGCTCAGTACCTGAGACTAAAATGCCCCTGTCAGGGATTTTGTTTTGTTCGGCTTCTGTCGCCGAGGCTCAAGCGGCTGACCAGTGACTCCGAGAGGACCCCGGTGCCATCCATGGTGGACTCGCTCGAGAACATGCCGGTCATAGGCTTCCCATACCTAGTGGGGTAGCATGGACCCCCAAAATGGCTACAGGTTTCCCCCCGTAATTTCCCTTCACCAGTACACCAAGCAGGGGGCACAAACTGCAAGGAAAGAAACGTGTCAAAACAAGGGTTGAAACCAGGGCAAAATGCCTTTTTTGAGTCAGGGTGGTCAAACCCTGAAAATACTTCGTATTTGGAGGATAGGAGGTGTTTGTTTGCTGCTGCGATGGCAAGTGCTCAGGGCTTGTCAAAGTATGAAATGAAGGGAAAACCCAAAGGCGACCAACCAATGTTCAACCCTTTTGTCATCTTGAGATGACTGCAGCGGGAGCCCCAAGGTTGCAAAAAGGGCAAGCTGAATAAGCTGAGTTGAGTCTGGCGACTCATCGGCCCTTGTGTTTGACGCATTTTGAAAGCTCTGGATGGAGTCCTTCCGGTCAATCACGTTGGCCTCGCAACTGGCCTGTCGCAAATTGACGTGAGAGGTGCCAACCACTGTTGTTCCAAAGATGTGAACCACTGTTGCATCTTCCCTAGAGGGTTTTTGTTTGGTTCAACTAAGGCCCTTGAACCCTACAGCGGCTCTGATCGCACAACCACACAGGCATAGCAAGGCTTTGGGAAATTTGGTCAGAGCGCACAGCCGGGTTCTGCAACTGGAATCCATGCGTTCCTTTACATCTCGACTTCCAGCCGCCTCCAGGCCCTCATCCTCTAGGGGCAACTCCTCCCACGAGGGAATAATCAGCGCACTGCTGTCCTTCTCAACCTTGGCACAGGAGGCTCCCATGCCGCGGAATGGGACGAATCGAACCCTTGATACAGCTGCGGGCGTGATGCGTAGCACATGGCCTCAAGCACCAGGAAGTGTTCGGTTGGCGCCATATTTGGGGAACCTATGGCTCCCTGCCCCCCACAGATATTGTCCCTTGCTCAACTTTTCTTCACATCCGTAAAGTCCGGAAAAGTACATGGCTTAAAATCATGGTTGAATCGAGCAAAAGGCGCCTGCGTTTCGGCGCCGCTGTTGCGCACGCGCTAGAAATAACCACTCCGCTCTCACTTGCGGGTCTTCTTGCGTGTTCCGGCATTCTCCTCAAACTGAATCTCCCCGTAGTTCACGCTGATGTTCGCGCAGCCCTAGCAGCTTCTGCGCAGGTGCGCCAGCCAGTTCTGCACAAGCGGGCCGTGTGTCCTGCGCCGCCTCTCCGTGAAGCTTTCCAGGCGGTTGTATTCCCAAGGTTTCTTGGGAAGCATCTGCTCTCAGGTTGGGCAGGCATTCTCGCAAAGCCTTCTCTCCCACCAAAATGTCCAACAGGCCGCGGTCATGATGGCTGTCACGGCCACTATGATCTCCAGCACATAGCTGCGACTTGACTGCTCTCCAGGATGTTGCTGCGACTTGATTCTTGACCCTCAGCTCTTCAGCCAAAGGCATCAAGCGCCTGTTGCTCTGCCGAAGGCAAAGGCCTCATGGAGACTTCGAGGCCTTGAGGCTCCATCGCCTGCTTCAAGCTCATGTCCTTCAGCTTCTCTGGTGCCCGCGCCGGCCTACGATCCTTGCCTTTGACGCGCTGGCCTTTGTCTACGACGGTTACCTGCTGATGAGTGGATTGCCTGGTTGTCCAGCTCTGATCCGATGAGTCAGGAGACAATCGTGAAAGAAAGCTGCCAGGAGTTCCCCTGAAACTCCGCCTACCAAACTCAGCAAAAGCATATGGCTTGAAGTCCCGCTTTCATCCAGCAAAAGGCTGCGGCTGCGCATGCACTAAAAAATATCACGTAGAACCAGTGGCGGGGCACCTGAAAAAAAGAAAAGGTTCTTCAAGGGACCGGCCCCATATCAGGCGGAAGCATTGATGTCGGGGGTCCTCCGCCCTTCCGGAGCTTTCCCTTTGGGAAGAGGCCGGCCTTTTCCCTGTTCAAACAGGGATCACTCTTTGCCCCACCAATGCATTGCACCCTCAAATAGAACCCCTTCAAATGTTCCTGAACCTGCCTCTGATCCTCAAAAAAGGGGACCATCCTTTGTGCTTGGATCCTGTGGGAGCCCAATGCGCCATATCCTGAAGACGACTTGGCACTTGGCTTAGCGTGTGTGTGTGTGTGTGTCTCTATGCAGGTGAATCAGCCTTGCGCCAAAAACCGGAGAATTGGACCTGGACTTCTTGGGTTCCAGAATCTGCCGCGAGCCTGGTGGCTGGGTGACAGCATTGGGCTCGGCAGGTTCTCCTGGCGACTCGTCACACAAAGGCCTTCACACAAGGCCATGAGGCACGAAGACGTAGCAACTGAAGGAACTTGGGGCTTGGTCCCTTGTAACGTATCTAGGTCCTCCAGTTTTGGAGCTTAGAATAAGTTGGTACCAACTTTCTTCGGTTTGGTCTATTTCAGTAGGGGAACCCTCCCCCAAAAAAGGGGAGAGAAGGGCACTACTGGGAAAACCAAGGTATGTATCACCACTACTTGCTGAGCGCGCTGAACATCCCAAACAGCGATCGGCACCAGTTAGGATGGATAAACCAGCGACAAAGTGGATCTGCAGCCACAGTGTGACACCACAGCTCAAAGCTGATCAAACAAAGGGTTCAAAAAGGGTTCGGCATGAGCACCGTGATCTGACCCGAGATGGCGAGTGAATGCGCAGAAACAAAACCCATAGAACCTCTTCAAAAGAATCTTGGTGCCAACCGTGTTTTTTTGTTGGGACCTCAAACGTTCTACCCAGGGCCGTGGGGAATGACCATGATACAACAGAAACGGCCTCCCAAAGACGAAAGTGTTCATAGAAAGTAGGATTCCCTTGTATCACAGAAGTGGGGATAAACCCCTTGATCCCACAAGCCTGGAAGTTCTTCCCGTAAAGCTGCTAAAGTTCTTGAGAGTACTGGGGACCTCGGACCGAAGCTCGCATTCACCCGGCCTCCGCAAAGCCGTCGCTGTCGTAATCCTGAGGGAAGGAGTGCCAAGACGGCCCAAGGGCTTAGGACTCCCCTCTGACGGGTCAAGACTGGAAAATCAAGACTGCGCTAGGGTGCGCTACCCCGTCTAGGGACATTCCTTGGATTAGTACGGTCCTCCGGATTCCATCCAAAGTCAGCATTCTCTCTGGGTACGTGTCAAAGTGTTAGCTTTCCTTTTGGTTCGCCGATAAAAGGCAACCCTCGAAAACAACACACCCACTTGTCTGCGTTTTCAGCTCAACCCATGGCTCTCCCCCCCCCCCCCCTCCCCTTTTCCCCCCCGCCCCCCGCGCGGCTTCCGCCTGGCTCCGACTCGTGGCGTCGGTGGTGCTGAGGTCGGAGTCCACCGTGGTGCCTAAGCGTTGGGAACTGAGACCGAGACCGAATTGTTGCCCGGGCCGAAAAACATCCGCGTGCCCACAGACGCCATCAACTCTTAAGGCGAATTGGTATAAATCCATAGATGATCAAATGAACCCATGGCCATTTTTGGAAAGGGCTGATTGCCCAAAGGCCATAGGGGCTCATACCATTCGGCAGCTTCTGAAAGCTAGGGATCGTTCACGAAACCCTGAAATTTGGTAAAAAGAACGGTACCTGGTCTTATGGTCATCAGGCCGATGGCCTGAACAAATCCGCATCTTGGTACAGCCACAGGACCTTGGTTGGCATTTAGACAAATTCCCCGCAGAACTTCCTGTAGCTGTTCTCTATGGATTCTACGAGTCATACAACCTGAAATAAGAATCAAAGACCCAAGTAATTAAAGGACCTACATCACGAGTCAAAGGCTGAATGTATACGGCCATATATGAACCCCTGCCCTTACCCTACCTGACTGAACATTATGCAGAAAATGGTGGTTATCCTCTGGGTCTGTTGGAAAGGTGATGTTTCGTTGAGTCGGCGGTTCGTTCATCTCCTAAAAAAACACTTGTGGGACATGCCGTAGTTGCTGGTCACTTTTTGTGCTGTTCCCAGCGAAAGAGAGAGAGAGAGAGAGAGAGAGAGAGAGAGAGAGAGAGAGAGAGCGAGAGAGCCTTATTTCGGACTATGTTGAGTCGATTCCTAAGGGTGGTATCGTTGGGTGCAATACAAGCACAGTCTGGGAGACGTTTGACATTCTAAGGACTGATTCCATAACCTTCTACGAACTACGTATGGACCACATCAGGAAACAGAAAGGTCCGAAGCGCATATTCCCGGATGGCGCAATCCTGGTGCCATCCTCACCTCTTTTTCTTTTGGATTCGGGCGGGCTGGTTGTTTGTTGCTACAGTTGCTGCCCTGAATGTTGCGAGCGAACGAACCACAAGGAATCCAAGCCATACTACTCCGGAGTGACAAACCTCTTCCTTGTCAGGGAAATGATCCAAGTTGGGCTGTCATCCGGAGTACTCCGAAGTCAATTGAAGACCCCCAATTGAAGACCCCCAACCCACCCAAGCGGTCTGAAGCAAACAGGGGCACCCACTTTTTTGTAGGCTCAAAGGGATACAACAACACCCCTCTGCCTCGGTTTGTCCGTCTCTGCCACAACCCCGCCTCACTTCTTTTCCGAGGCTTTGGCATTTGGATGGCGGGCTGGTCGGCAGGGTGATGCCAGGTTTGGCCTGTGATCCAACTGCTTCCATGGGGCCAACACCTGAGTCAGAATCAAAACCGAACGGTAAAAAAATAAATAAATAAAAATGTGCGTCCAAATGAGGTGTTATCTTGCGGTGAATGATTAATTCCACATAGATAAAACGAGTGGGATTCAAACTTGAGCCGAAAATTAATCAAACTATTCAAATGGTCCAAGCCAAAAACCCTGTAAGGAAATTAAAAGGGGATGTCCGAACCTATTTCTGGCTGGGACTGCCACTAACCTTCACTTACCCGGGCTTTGATTGTGGCTCACCTCGGTCTGTGTTGCGAGGGTGCCCTTTTCAAACAAGCGAAACCAAAAGGACCACCGTGGTGAATGGCCAATTCCTTTCGACACGTCTTCGTTTGTTGTTCACGCCAGGGTCTTCTTTTGGGGAGGAAGAGAAGAGGGATTCCGATAGCTCGACTCCTGTGGTCTGTACACGGGAACCCAGAGTTCCCCATCTCCCAACATGGACGATCATACTGGGGTCATTTGGCTGTGGGTCCAAAATAGGTACCCAAAATGGAACCCTGGTAAATGGAACCAAAGACTAAAACACGCGGTCCCCCGTGGTGGTTTCATTTTGACCCATATCCATTCGTCTCACCAGTTCTGGGGTTGTCAAAGTCAGCAGCTGGGGTGGTGTCCCTGTTGTCAGACAAGCTTCGCACACCTCCAAGCAGCCCTCACTTTTAGGAGTTCCATACATTCTTCCACGAAGGTCGTCAAAGGACCATTTTTGGGTTCCCTGAGATCGTGCGAGAAAGCAAGTACTCTGACTACAAATCACCTGTGCAGTGAGGAATCTCTGGGTAAGGGACGTCATCATGGGTGAGGTTGCAAACCCATGTTCTGATGTCGTTTGATGCGCGGAAACCAACGATGTCTGAGCCCTTTGAAGGGTGTGACCCAAAAAGGGTGTCAAAACCATGGCTGGATCTCTCTTGCTTCCTAGCCAACTTTCAATCCAGCTATGTCCACTTCCCCCACTCGGGAAAATAGCGGGATGACACTGAGCCATGCAATCATGTGGGTGTGGCTCAAAATTTAACAGTAGAAATTACGCAGGTCTTGGTCCATGTTTCCACTTACCAGGGCAAGCCATTTTGGAATTCCGGTTTTTGAGCCACAGCCATGTGTCAGTATACATGTGTGTTTGCTTGACGACGGTAATTTGCTTGGACTCACCGGACTTGCGGCCCTCCGAGCGCCGCAGCTTGGCATCGGGCTA